CCCCAAAACCCCAAACCCCAAAACCCCAAAACCCCAGAACAAGAGGTATAGTATTTAAATTGAAAAAGAAGTACTAGTTATAATAAAATATATTCCTAAACAAAGATAACTACTTTTGTTCATTGAATAATTGCAAATCATGGCGCAAGTTGTAATAATTCCACATAATTCTTGATTTATCGTGTATTAATCCTTTATTTGAAATAGGATGGAGGCGCAGGCCTCAACAACGATTTCGTTGAAATGGGATTAGACCCTGCTTCATATGAAGCCCTTGAAAAAGACTTCCAAGAGGTAAAATACAATCACTTCCTAATCTTACATTAAATATCAGGTTCTCCAAGAATTAGTTGGAGATCAAAGTATGGAAAGATTCAGAAATGAGTATGAAAAGTTGCATAGAGCTCTTAAAACATCATATGAATCCGAGAAGCGTTTAGTTAAAAGGTACAGTTACAACGGCCATATTTTATTTGGAACTCTTTATTCTTATTTCAAATTTTATTTCTATTAAAGCGTTCCAAAACTATAAAAAACTGCAATTATTTCGCTTCAAATTCATCTTACCTTGATTTATAGATGCAAAGACTTAAATGATACCATTCTCTAAAACGCTGCAAGAGTCAAAGCTGCTATTAAGTTAACTCAAGAAGATTCATAAACCATTGCTATCCTGAGAAAGGAAGTTGATAAGGCATGGAAACTAGTCGAATAGGCTAAAGAGAAAGAGGAAAAGGCTAGAAAGATTATTCAAGATTTGAGAAATGAAATCGCACATCTTAATAAGATTGTCGAATAAGGATCAGGTCTAAGTATTGGTCAAGACAACACAGTCCATAATCTAATGAGACAAAAGGATGAGTTGAAGAAAGAATGCGATCAAAAGACTGAGACCATTAATGACCTCGAAACTCAAAAGAGTTCTTTGATGGAGAGAATTCATAAACTTGAAAACGATCTAATCAGAGAAAAAGACGATATTGAGAAGTATAGACACGAGATCGAAAAGCTCAAGGATGACAAATCAAGAGAGGAGAGAAAGAACAAGTATGCTGAGGAGGAAAAGAAGAATCTCTAAGGTACTGTTCAAGACAAGGAAAACTTGATTGACAAAATGAAGGAGGAGAAGACCAAAAAGGATTCTGAAATCGACAACCTCAATAAGAAAATCTAAAATCTTGAAGCTTAACTTAAGGATAAATCTGAGAAATACGCTGTCAAGACAGCTGAATACAAAAAACTAGAGGAAATCGCTGGTCAATTTGAAAAAGATAAGCATAATCTCCTTTAGAAGTTTAATCAGACAGATTTAGAGTTGAGTGAGACAAGAAACAAACTGAAGCAACTTGAAAAGGAAAATAAGAATTTGCTAAGAGAAAACAACACTTTAATGAATGATAAGGATAGAATGGCTAGAGAGAAGATGGAAGCACTAAATGAGAAGAACATCACTAAAGCAGGTGTCAATGCTTTGACAAGAGAAATTGAATATCTTAGAAAACAAACCGAAGGTGAGAAATCAAATATCATCAATCTCATCAGAGACAGAGATATGATGAAGAAGAGCATCATAAAGGCTGAGGAAGATAATTAAAAGAACAAAGAAGAACTTATCAATCAAATCAATGAAGTCAAAAAGCTGAATGAAGAGAAAAAAGCTGATAAGGAGAATATTGCTAGTCTTCTCAAGTCAATTAGCAAGCTAGAAAAAGAAAGAGATAAGTTCTCACATGAAGCCAGTAAGGCAAATGCTAATCTTATGCAAATGGTCGAAGAAGTCAAATTAAAGAAAAACTTAATCTCTGAGTTAAAGAAAGAAAACATCGAGTTTGAAGGTAAACTTAAGTAACAGCAAAATCTCTATGAGGCAGTCAGATCCGATAGAAATCTTTACTCAAAGAACTTGATTGAAGCATAAGATGAGGTTGCTGAGCTTAAACGTAAATTCAAGATTGCTTCTCATCAGATTTCTCAATTGAAGGATGAAATTGAAGCTAAGGATCAAGCATTGACTAATGAGCATCACGATTTGGCTGTTGCTAAAAAAGAAATTGATACAATCAAGAGTTCATTAGAAGCTGAAAAGAAAAAGAACGAAGAGGCAAGATAAATCAAGACAAAACTTGAAAATGAGATTCAAAAGCTTACCTATATTATCAAAGAAGCTCACGAAGAGCATGAAAAGCTCAAGAAAGATTACCAAAATGTTATCAATGAAAGAGATATTTTAGGAACCCAACTCATTAGAAGAAATGATGAGCTCGCTCTTCTGTATGAGAAGATTAAGATCCTTTAATCAACTCTAGCTAAGGGAGAAGTTCAATATCAAGAGAGACTCGAAGATATTAGGCTACTTAAATTCAAGATTGCTGACTTAAAGTCAGAGCTTAGAATTGTCAAATCATAAGCATCTTAAATCGGTGATCTAAGAAAGGAAGTTTACAACCTTCAATAGCAATTATTGACAGAGAGATTATAAGTTAAGGCACTTAGTGAGGAATTAGAAAATCCACTTAATTATCATAGATGGAGGAAGCTAGAAGGTACTGATCCAGATACTTGGGAAATGCTTCAAAAGATTTAGACTCTTTAAAAGAGATTAATTAAGAAAACTGAAGAAGTGGTTGAGAAGGATGTTGTGATTTAAGAAAAAGAAAAACTTTATATTGAACTCAAAAATCTTTTGGCCAGACAACCAGGACCAGAGGTTGCAGAACAATTGTCTATTTATCAACAGAACCTTAAGGAAAAAACAAGACAAATGAAAGCAATGGCTGCTGAGCTAAATATGTATCAAGCTCAAGTAAATGAGTACAAATACGAGATTGAAAGACTCACTAGAGAATTGCAAGATATGAAGAGAAAGTACTACGAACAAAAGAGAAGAGAACAAGCACAAAGAGAAGCCCAAAATAGATTAGACAAAGGCAATAGTATTAAACAAATGACTGCTCCAGTTCAAAGATTCGCAGGAGGTGGTTACAGTCTTGCTGTTTGAGAGGAATCATTAATCCTACATTGAAAACGATTCATATTACTCCTAATTGCTTTTAAGATAAACAAATTTGATTTACTCAATTTAAAATTTTTGTAGACAACTTTATATGGATTTAATTATGAGCAAGGGGTTTTGGGGTTTTGGGG